GCCGTCCCTGCTGGCCCCTGCGGTCACGACGGACTCGATCCTCCACCCGCTCAGCCCGCCAGGCCCCATATGTGAGCCCAGGAGCCTGATGCCCGTTTCCCGACCACCATCTGTGGCTCCTGGGCCCGGCTCCTCTGCTGCCCGAGCTGTGTTGCTGGACTGGTCTCTGTGCTGCGGCCGGGCCGTGTGCTGTGTTTGGCTCAGCAGAGGCAGAGCCCCAGGCAGGGCCACCGCGGCCCAAGGCCTGCTACCCGCCCAAGGCCACCTTCGCCAGGAAGAGAAGAGAGGACCCCTGTGTCTCCGCCCCCGCCGCCGACCTCCCCCCCCATGCCTGCTCCACCCCCCTGTGCCCGCTCTGTGCTGTGTGATTCACACATTCACACGCCCCTGGGAGGGGCTGCCGGGCCACCTTCGCCAGGAAGAGAAGAGAGGACCCCTGTGTCTCCGCCCCCGCCGCCGACCTCCCCCCCCATGCCTGCTCCACCCCCCTGTGCCCGCTCTGTGCTGTGTGATTCACACATTCACACGCCCCTGGGAGGGGCTGCCGGGGGCCCCTCTGTTTCTCTGTGCCTCTAATGCCACATGTCCTTGTACATTGAGTCTGTGCACGCCCCCCAGGTGTGCCAGTGTGTGTGTGTGTGTGTGTGTGTGTGTGTGTGTGTGTGTGAGCTGCAGGCCTCACCCCCAGGGCCCCTCCCCTCTGGTCAGTGTGCATTCCTCGTGCCCCCCCTCCCCGCAGAATGTGGGTGCAGCCTTGTCCCGCCAGCCTTGCCTCCACCTCCAGGTCCTGTGACTGTGGAGGCGTGAGAGTGCTCAGGGCCATCTGTGGTCAAGTAGAAGCTGCTGGTGGCAAGGAAGGTCCCCCGGGACTGCCTGCCGCCAGTCACACCCCAGTCCAGTCACTGAAGTGGGTCAGCCCCCACCCCAGCTCTGCACCAAGAGAGTCTCCAGGGCCCTGGGTCCTCAGTGCCCTCAATGCCCTCTGCAGCCTCCCAGTTGCTGCCCCGGACGCCCCCTGCTGGGCAGACCCCACACTACAGAGCTCTGCCTCCGCTGTCCCTGGCCCAGGGCAGGCCACTCCAGTGCTGGGACTCCCTGGACAGCAGGGGCCCTGAGAGGGGCTGCAGCTGTCCGTCCGGGGAGTAGCATTGCCCCCTGGGGTGCCCTGGCCAGGCTCCCGCTCAGCCTCATGCCCCTGTCGCCTGCCGTGACAGGCATGTCCATGCTGACCCATCCTCGGGGTCCCGGTCTCCAGGCCTCCCCCTCCCCACTTGCTCACCGGGACCCTGCCTGTGGGGACCTGACCAGCCGGGTGTGGGGTCCCCTAGTCCTCACTCAGGGCCTCCCAGAGACGCAGGGTTTATTTTTCTGATTGAAGACAATAAAAAGTGCCGTGCCATTCTTACAGCAGCGTCAGCGTTTGTGACTTAGGAGTGTCCTGCCTGGTTGTGCTCCTTACACCCAGTGAGCAGCGGGAGGGAACGTGTGGTGCGCTCAGGACCGGCTCTGCTGGCCTCTCCCTCAGCCCCTGCCCTGGACGGGGACTCAGGCGTGTGTTCTGCCCTGAGCCCTGGGACCTGTGGGCCGTGTGAGTGTCTCTGCCCGGTCCGCATACCTGGTGCTGGGGCGCATCCCAAGGGGGGCCAGGTCGAGCGTGGACCTTGCAGCCCCTGGGAGTGTCGGCCAATTTGTAGGGTGTGGGGCAGGGCCATGGGGACCCCCAGCCAGGGCCGGGGCTGCCCCACTTCCCATCTGGGCCACCCCGCTGTGAGCCTAGGGTGGGCAGCCCTGTGTGATCGCAGGCTGAGAAAGGTGCTAGGGTTCTATTGGACCCCAGAGGGGCTTACAAACCCGTGACCCCACAGCTGCTCTGGGTTCACAGCGCTGGGACCCTGGGGGGTGCCACCTGGGGAGGCCCACCTGCCGCAGGGGGGGCTGCAGCACCTGTCCTGGGGGCCCTGCTGGTGTTGCCTGGGGACAGCAGTCTGGAAGTGGCTCTCCTGTGGAGTGGCCACTAGGAGGCGCTGGAAGGTAAATGAATTTCTGAGCCACCTCGTTGGCCACAGGACACAGCTGGGGGGGTGGGGGTGGAGGCTTGGGCTCCCGCCGATGAGCTGGCTCCAAGGTCATGGGTGGGGGTGGGGTCCACCTTGAGCAGGAAGTGAGGATGGATGAGTCTTTGAGGGGGGTCTTGGAGGTCTGGGGGAGGCCCCTGCTGCGCCAGGGATGCCTTGGATGGAGCCTGGGTGTCCGCTCCATGCCCGGCACAGGCCCTGCCTCCACCTCCCCGTCTGCAGGTGCAGTGCCCGGCCTGCTGTGGCTGCAGTTGTCAGGTGGAAGGGGGTGTCCGTGTAGGACCCTGGATGGCCACGCTGAGATGGAGTTGACCGTGCAGGGGCCCACTAAGGAGACCCTTGGGGTTCCCAGGGGGCAGGCACGAGCATGGGTCCCCCTGAAACACCCTCCAGGCTGAGGGAACCCCAGGAGGAGCTTGTCTTGTGAGCACGGGGGTGCTTTCGTGTGTCCCGGCTTCAGGTGAATGCCAATCACTCCCGCAAGCCCTGCCCTTCATTTGATCAACACCAGAGGGCTGCCCTCGCCACGGAGTTTTTCCTTCCGGGTCCTGAGTGCCAGAGTGCCCGGCCAGTAGGGCCTCTGTTCCAGTCACGCAGTGTGTGAGGGGAAGCGGCTGCTGGGCCAGACACCGACCGGCCAGCCTCCTCCCTGGGCAGAGGCTACCCTAACCCTAACCCAGAGGCACCCTGCAGGTCACCAAAGCCAGGCCAGGCCATTGTAAGGGAGATAGCGCCACATCCAGCCCTGCCCTCACCCAAGGAAGCTGGCAGGAAGTCTGCCCAGAGCTGGGTGGGAGCCTGAGACGTCCCGTCTGAGCCCTGGAGGGTCTCAAAGCCCCGGTTACAGGCCGCTCTGAGGTTCCGGTCCTTCGGCGGTTAGAGAGCCCTGCTCCCCTGCTCCCCTGCTCCCGGCACAGCAGCCTCCCTCTCCCCCCTGAGGCTCCTCTGAGGAGCCCATTGGTTCTGGGAGGTTCCCTCCGCCCTCAGTCAGGGTCAAGCCCCAAGTCCCACCCCCACCCCACGAGGTCCTCGGTGGCCTGACCCCCTCCTCTGCCTTCCTGGGGCTGACTCACTTGCGGTTCAGCTCCCGTACCCTCCACACACCTCCAGGCCCTCCCTGCCCTGGGTGCTGACGGCCCCATTTCTCATCTGCACCCCCACCAGCCCTGGACCCCAAGCTGCGAGCCTCGCTGGGGAACGGAGACGGCCGTGGGAGCGTTCTGGATGCGCCCTGTGGCGGCCCTTCCAGGCTCCTCCCCACATCCGTTTGCCGTGTGGGCTTGTCTGCCGTGTTTGGGGTTTTCTAATCATAAAACAGTTGCCAGATGGGCTGGTAGATCCTTCCGGAAGGTTCCCCTCCGTGCCACGGGCTGGCGACTCAGCCCCCTGCCCTCGGTTTTGTCACCTGCAGGATGGGGTCATGCTGCTCCTCCTGCAGGACTAGTGAGCCGGGTGCTGGGCTTCTATGAATGTGAGTGGTTCCTGCCCCAGCCCCTCCTCACACGGGAGGTAGCTGGGGGCTGGCGATGGACTCTGGGGTTCCTCTGTGATCCCTGCTGTCCCCGGCGTGCCACCCTCTGTGCCGGCCTGTGGGACGTGGGCAGCACCTGGAACCGGGGTCGCCTCCCTGAGTGCTGGGCGGCGTGCTGGCTGAGAGCCACAGCCTCGGTCAGACGCGCCGAGGGAGGTTTGCCTCCGCGGTGCCCCGACATCACCGTGGAAGCAGACAAAGCTAAGGGACAGAAGGGAGGGCGGGAGGCGATGGGACCAGGACACGGAGCTGGACGCAAGGCCATGTGGCTTCCTGGGTGTGGGAGGGTCAGGGTCAGGGGCTGGGATGTGGGTCGTGTCCCCACAGCTTTGTGAGGTTAGAGTTATTTTCAAGTAAAAAGAAAAGTGCGAGCCCAGCCAGCGTGGCTCAGGGATTGAGCATCAACCTATGAACCAGGAGGTCAGGGTTCGATTCCGGTCAAGGCACATGCTGGGGTTGCAGGCTTGATCCCCAGTGTGGGGCCTGCGGGAGGCAGCTAGTCACTGATTCTCTCTCATCATTGATGTTCTTATCTCTCTCCCTCTCCCTCTCCGAAATCAATAAAAATACATATATCTGGGCCACTCCTCTCATTGCCACTTAAACTCCACGGATCTCTGCTCCTCCCGTGAGCCGGGCACGCGGTGTCCAGGGAGGCTTTTGTGTGAAGAGCAGGAGCTGCCGCAGGTGACAGGACAGGCACAGAGAGGCTGAGTGATGGCCCTGGGTCACACAGCCTGTGGCCATCCACACCCAGCCCTGCAGCCTGATGCCAGCCTGGGGTTGTGGGGGGTCTGAAGAGGGGGAGGAGTTGCCACCCTGCTTGGTGTAGGGAAGGGGTGTGGCGACCACTGGGGAGGGGACAGAGCCAGCTGCAGACTCCTGTCCTTGAGCCTTGTGTCTCCTTCCTGTCTGGGCTCCACACAGCTGGGCCACTTGCCCCCTACCTGCCCTCCCTGGGCTGCCCCCTTGGGTGGAGCTGGGGCCTGACCCTGGCTGGCCCCCCTCCCCACAGCAGGCGGTGCAGAGGCTCAGGCGCTTGCTGAGCCCTCTCTCTGTCCCCAGGTGAAGGCTGTCCTGTCCAGAGGGGGCGACCGCCACAGCGAGGACGAGGGCTTCCGCGAAGCCACCAGCTCCCGGCTCAGCGCCTCCCGGGACCAGCTCAGTGACGTGAGTACCCAGACCCGGGAGTCTGGGGCAGCCTTCCTTCCGCAGACCCGCCAGCCGCTCAGTAAACAGCTTCTCACTTACCAGGGCTCCGCCGGGAGGGAGTTAGATGAGGACCGAGGCTGGCGGGAGCCGGGGGAGGGGTTCAGGTGGGGGCCCGCTGTCCAGCGGGCAGGCACAGGCTGGACTGGAGGCAGGGGCTCTGGGAGCGAAATGGCTCGGACTTGGGGTGGTGGGCAGGGGTGGCCGCTGGCCTCAGCCTGATGCTGAGGTGGCCTGAGTCTGGGGACGCCTTCGCTGTCCTGGCAGGAGGTCCCTGAACTCAGGGCCCTGGAGGTGGGAGGGGCCTGGGACCCCGTGAGGGGCTGACCCGGGATTTGGCCAGCGATGGGGAGACCAGACCAGGTGGCCCTGACCCTGGGGGTTTCAGGTCCCAGAGCTTGGAGGAAGGCTAGGAATAGGGGAGGGGTTCCTGGGGGAGGGGACCCTGGGAGGCCCTAGAGAAGGCCCAGACTGGACCCCCAGCTGCAGGCGTGGCCGCCCTGGAGGCTGGAGGAGTGAGTTTTCCTCATTATCATTTAAATGGAGGCCTGGGGAGCGGTGAGGCCGAGGCTGCGGGAGGCTGATTGCCCGCTTGGTCTTTCCCACAAGATGGGAAAGGGGCCGCCCAGTTCCATCTCTGAGTGTCGGCCTGGAAGCAGGAAGCGGACTCTGGGCGCAAGGTAGGGCGGCCGCAGCCCAGCCACCCTGTCCGTCCGTTCGTCTGTCAGCAGGGCCTCCAGGCTGGAGGCTGCCAGGGCGAACTCTGCCCAGCGGGGACCCAGGAGCCGAGTGAGGACCTGGCAGGGGTCTGCCTGCGGAGGGGGCGTCCCACAGCTGCAGCGCAGGCGGGACGGGTCCCTGTGCAGACGGGAGCAAGCTCAGTGCCCAGTGTGCTCTGGGCCCTGGTCTGCGGGTCCCCCCAGCCCCATCCCGCCAGCCTGTGCCTTGGGGGCCAGCCCTGGGGGCCTCCCTGTGAGGCAGGGGTGAGACCCACCTCCGAACCACTTCCTCCCACGGCCTCTGGGCCACAGCTCATCCTGACTCCGAGGCCGGAGGTCCCCCCGTCCAGCTCCTCCCGAAAGCCTTCCAGCGCCTCCCCTCCCAGTCTCTGGGAGGTTGGGGGTGGCACGGGGCAGGCTGGCAGGCACAGAGGGGCGTCCCCCCTGGGAGGGTTGGCCCCGTGAGGACTGAGCCAGGTGAGGACAGAGCACGTGTGGAACGCAGGCCCTCTGGGGGCCGACACTTGGCTCAGAGTTGAGAGTCGTGGGGCCTGTGTGTGGGGGGCTGATGGCTGGGCCATATCCGGGTCTCCGGGCGAAGGTCCAAATGGGGTCCTGGGTCTGTGAGGCTCAGCTGTGTCCTCGGTCCTGACCCCCAACCCCTGGTTCCCGCCAGGGCCCAGGGCGTGGTCTCTGGGCCTGTCTCAGGGTCACGGCATCTATGCCCAAGGACAGGGGTACTCTGACAGTTCAGACGGGGCCCCGGGGTGGGCCTCAGAGGGCGGGTGGCGGTGGGGCTGTGAGCCTGGTTACCCTGGTTACGGATGTTCTCTTCCTTCCGCAGAGCTCAGCGCAGGCCTTCTCGGGCAGAGGCTATTCCGTAAGTCCCCCCCACACACACACCCTCTGTCCCTCTCCCTCTCTCCCTGCATGTCCTGTCCCCTCCGGAGCCCCCATTGGAACCCTGCCCGGGGCGGACCCCAGGGTGGTCTTGTTGGCAGAGCTGGCCCAAAGGGGGTGTGCACGGGGCTGGAGATGGGCTGAGGGGGCGGAGGTTCCGAGGGAGAGGGTCCTGTCGGGTGGCACTTGGACTTGGGGGTCCTGGGCATGGAGCAGCCGTTCCCCAGTGACCCGCCCCTGCCCCCCCAGTACCTTGCTTGGCCTGGGCAGGCTGGCTGTGCAGGGCTCCCCTTCCTGCCCCCACCCCCATCCTTGGGGAACAGACTGCCCCCCCAGGACGTTATTCCTTTTCCCTGAAGTATCAGCAGGCCCAGAGCGCCGCGAAAGCCAGGTGCCAGGTGCCAGGTGTGGCTGGTGGCCGGCCCGGCCGGCCCTGGTTTACCAAGTTCAGAGCTGCAGGGCGGCTTTTTGTAGGGTGTGACTGACCCATTAGCCCAGCCGCCCTCCCCACCCAGCGGTGTTCCAGGGAAGGACCCGCCCTCCTCTGCAGCCTGGTGCCTGTCAGTCCTCACGGTCACGGTCACCGTCACCACTAGCGCCTGGGCTCCCCACACTGCAGTCACCTGGGAGCTGTGCCAGGGCCCGGCCCCAGCAGCACAGGCAGGCAGCCCCGGGCGGAGGTGTCGGTGACCTGTGTGATGCCGGCCAGATGGGGAGAGCCGAGCCGGGTGGTGATTAGGAGGGGGCGGGCCAGCACGCCCAGCAGCAGGCTGGGCCCCTCTGTTGTGTGTGCATGTGGCTGGTGTGTCGTGTGCTTGCATGTTGACGTGTCTATCACATGCACATCTTCATGTGGCCCTGATGGTGCCGTGTTTGCCTGCACCTAGAAGTTCTATTTGTCTCTGGGCCGTCTGTGTGTTCTGTGCCCCGCATGAGTGTTCATCTGCACGTGTGTCTGGGTGTAGCAGATGCGCATGCATGTGTGAGTGGGTAGGTGCATGCCTCACATGTGTATCTGCATGTGAGTGTCTGGGTGGTGTGGATGCACCTGTGCGAGTGACTGTCGTTCTGCAGACGTGTGCCCCGTGTCACCTGTGTGTGTGTGGTTGTCCTCCCTTCCCAGCAGCGCCCGCTCTAGGCGACACTGGCATTTGCCCTCTGACCTGGCTCATAGACGACACTCAAAGGGGCTTCATTTGCCCAGATTTTCCCCAGCAAATCCCCAGCTACTGCGCATCCTCAGCAGCTTCTGTCCCAGACGCTCGCAGCCCCGCACAGACGCTCTCGCAGCCCCGCACAGACGCTCTCGCAGCCCCGCACAGCCGTCAGATGCTTGTCAGCTGCGTACTAGTTAGAGAGTAACTCTCCTAATTCGGTTGCTTGCAACCGAAACACGTGATCTGTCTCCGCAGACACAGGGGCCTGGGGGCTTCCCTATGAAACAGAAATGGAGATCTAGAGCTGTGGAGGCCAGAGGCAGCATGGCCCCCGCCCCCCATCAAG